TTTTAAAATAATGTTGTTAAAATTATTTATAACATTTACAATATAAATTGCATTATGTTATATTTTATGGCGCTTTTCTGTGTCGTATAATATTACATTTATCACAGCGCTTTTGATTTCGACGACATGTTTCGATGTTTACCACATCATCATCAGGCTTATCAATTCATATATTTTTAAAAACTATTGTACATTTGTGCATTACGTTTATAGATTTTTAATTTTCAGTCTTCATCTTGATTTGGAGTATGCATTTTGATGTTCATTATCTGTGAAATTAATTTTTCAAGTCGTGATTATGGATTTTGACATAGGAAATATAATAACAAATATAACATAATGCAATTTATATTGTAAATGTTATAAATAATTTTAACAACATTATTTTAAAACAAGTTTTGTGTATAGACTGGAAAAATAAATATATGTGATGAGAATATTTGCTTTCTGTACTGAAGATAACAGGTTTAATCTTCTTCAGTATTTTGCATTGCGGTACGTGGCAATAAATCGCGTTGTGTGACATTGTCTTTTGCTGACTGACTGGGTGGGACCGCGGAGACGGGGCAGATATCCGAAGAGCTGTAATACGTCCTGCTAATTAGCCAAGAGACATGGCAGTGCCATAGATTTTGTGCTTTGTGTTTGTAATTCATGAGCTTTATGGTGCTCTTGAAATCTGTACGTATAAAATCTATTCATTTCGTGAACGTCATGCTTGAAATTTTCGTAAAATTCGGTACAGCAGTCACAGCATAGTGGCTTCACTTAGACGAGATTGTGTTCTGGAGGTAACATGGCTGCTCTAACCTCTTGACTCTTGGCTTTATGTTAGATACTTCTGCTAATTATACAGATTCTTGAGAGAACGTTTTCCGCTTCAGAAATTGAGATAGGATTATTCATTTTTACACAATTTTTTTTACCATATTTTGTACATGTATCTACTGTAATATTCTTTGAAAATCCAAATTGAAGTCTCGTTTTTAATAAAGCTACGAAAATGTGGTTTAGCTGCAACTAAGTTACAGCTTATTGGTGACCATATGTACCACCTCCTTTAACAATTAGTAATTCTTTATTTTCTAATTATTTGCTTCGCAAGATTCTCAACGTAAACAGCAACTATTTCTTCAGACAGAATTAACCAGTCGTTCTTTGTAATAGTATAATGATTTTTTTTTTCAGTTTTATGTTGGCTTTCCATATGCACGTTTTCGGAAATTAGTGAATAATATAGGCTTATATAAATAATAATTTATATACAAGATCTGTACCGTTATGTGATAACGTTAGTACATGAATCCAGGCGATAAGACTTTTATACGGGAAGAAATATTTTGTCAAATTATAATTCTTTGAAGATGTACCAAGTTGTAAGTGAGATTGTTCATGAAGATAATACATTTAATCGAAAGTCGCAACCGAGTGGTTGACAAAACTTTTTCGTTGTTGGGAAGTCCCGAATTCAAATATCGCTCTGGAGACTGGATATCATGACTGAGGCTTTTAGTGGTTCTCTTCAGTTGCTCAGGTAAAATCTTAGCTTGGTAACTCAAGTAGAACACGGCCGGTCGCTTCCTTCCATATCCTTTCAATTCATTATTTATTTAATAATCTGTCAAAATGTAATTGCCGATCTGTTTGAACTTGTGTTTCTCGTTCGGGACGTTAGTATCGGCTCAAAGACTGGGTATTCTGACAAAGGTTTTTAATTGTTTTCCTCAGTCCCTCTACAGATGTCGAGGTAGCACCTTAAATTAGGCAAAAACATAATTTTTGGATTCTTTGTACACTGATAACGCTGAGTTTTTAACAACGTCGTAAGTAAAATGAAAATTATTTTCGTAAATTTTGTATTTTTGAGGCAGTCGCGGTGGTAATGGTGTTGATTTTGGTCTTCTTTGTACCGATGCCATGAGACACTATCGCGTCTTGTACGTTCATCCAGATTGTCGGCAACCGCCTACAAGGCAAGGTCCAAAATCTACATGACAATAAAATATCTTTCATATTTCTTGTAGAAAATGTACGTCGCTTCTGAATACTTATCTTATTGTAACTTTTTAATTCACATGCACATCCAATTCCCTCTTTTCTAAATCCTTTAGCGGTTTCTCGATCCCTTTTCAGAACTTTTACCCACGTCCTTTCTGTCTTGTTGAAGAACAACCACTGGAGTGTAGGCAGTCCCGCACTACACATTCGGGGTAATGTCAAAGGGCCCTTTTCTCTACCATTTTCCGCGTTTTAATGTGAAGTTATACAGCTAATTATTGAATAAGAGCTGTTTTTCCAACGGTATGAAATTTTTACCAGACGTAAAGAAAACACGTCATATTTAAATCGTAATGTTAAAAATTTTACTCCGTTGAAATAACATTAAAAATAATGAACTGATCTGTAGAACCTCTGTGTACTGTAAATAGCTGCAGGTGCAGTGAGCAGGCGGAGATTTGGTGCACAAAAACAAATGTGTTGTGTAGTTTCGCCGTAATTATGTATTTACATTTTATCCATGTTTTATTATTATTTAGTGTTCTGTCTGACGACAGGTCTATATGAACAGGATCCTTCCATCCTTTTCTCGGACTGGGACCTGTTCATATACGTTCTTGGCAGATGATCCAGAAGTGGTTTGCCATTGCCTTCTTCTGTGTGTGAATGGAGTAATTGTTGGGATGCCACGGAGGAAAACTCCGTGTTGCCTAGACCACGGCCTTGCCCAACACAAGTTATAAATTCGGGCACCGCCGGCAATCGAACCCGAGACCCCGGGATTACAAGGCCAGCGTTCTAACCGCTATATTTTAGTATTATAATTATTATAAATATACGTTTGGGGAATTTTAGGTTTAATGTTTAAAAAAATGAAACAAATAACTTTCTTTATGCAAAACCCTATTCTAGATTTAGAACGAGCTTCGTTCTGAATTATAATTCAAAACTAAATTACTCATAAGACAGGTAAATTAATAGGGTATTGTTAATGATTAACATTTTTAACTAAGTTGGATTTCCTGGTCTACATTTGTTTAAATATGTACATATATGTTATTATTTTTGATCGTTATTCATTTATCACCCTGTAATCTGATCCATTGAAAGCGTCATTAAATAAACAACAAATAAATAAAATACAAATCACTTTTCTGAAAAATTTCAACAGGTGAAATTTGGGTGAAAATATTTGATTGGTATAGTAACTCATAGAATTCGCCTGCAAAATTCTGACGTAGCTGACAGATTTATTACAATAATAAAAAAAAAAAATCGGGCTATCATCCGTGTGAGTGCCTATTTTATAAGCAGACCGCGAGCCAACATAGGCTCTGGGTATGATACTTGGAACGTTTCATAAAATCCTTATGATGTGGATGGAGCAGGTCCCTGAAACGTCGATTTTTTTACGAATTCATGTTGCTGATAGCCCGAGAAGATTTTATCAATGTTAGTCGCCATAAAATCTTCAATTCATATATTTTTAATCTTCAAATTTATTGGTGGGACATCTAGACTCATTCCGTCCGCGTAATATGTTAGTGCCTATTTCACTGTTGAATCTACAAATTGTTTTAAGCCCAGTACTTACTTCACATCATAATGTTTTGACAAAGAGTGTACTCCTTAAAGAAGGATGGTGACGATGGTCCCGCGATGCTAGTAGAGGGTTCAACTGCTGTAGGGTTTTCGTTTGGTCGGTCGACTTAACGATCTTACCAAGTCACCCTTCTCTGTTCCTTCATTTTATCCTCTTTCTCTCTTTCTCTCTTTCTCTCTTGGTCTTCTTACCGCAGGCTTTAAGACCAAGGAGAGGGGAGAGGGGAGAACTGAACGAAGGTGATCTCTGACTTGCTCAGTCCAGCCAAAATCCCACCTCCTGAAATTCAATCCATATTAAAATAAGATGCAGTAGGATTAGATCCTGCTTAGGAAATAAAGACTTTCCTGTTTTGTTTCTAAGGGTTAAATATGCCTTTAGGCTTTCACTGACAAAGTTGAGCGCGAATACCCCGGCTCCAGATGTAGGTAAATTGATATTTTGTCTTGTATCGCGAAAAAATTGTAGCGCTTGGCGGCGAGTCATGCAGAAACACCCGCAAGCCAGAAAGTAGGATTTGCGTTCAACTTTATCATTGAACGCGCTTTAGTAAATATATCCAACTGTGATTAATGGACGGACACACACGAGGATTTTACCCTTAAAGTCTGAATTGATATCATACGTAATTTTATCTTATTCTCGTATAGTTCATTTATCGGTTGGCGTCGATTGAGAAGATGTAAAGGAAAAATGAATAGGAAAGGATTCGGAAGGAAGCGATCTTGGCCAAATTTAAGGTACTGTCCCGGCACTTGCCTGGAGGGTCTGAGGAAAACCACGAATGACATCAGTCAGGTTAGTTGGTCACCGGGCCGACATTTGACCTCTGGGCCTCCCGAGTACGAGGCAGGAGTGCTAACCACTCAACCAACTCCTCTTTTAAGGCAGACTTCTTGTTTCAGGTTCTACACGAGGTGTACCTCATCAACGGGAAATGGATGTAGGAACCACACCTGAAATGTAAGCAACACAATTACTTCTGAATGCTTTTAATATAATTCTAAAATATTTTTAGATATAATATCGATATAAACAACGTTTATTTATTTATATGAGTAGAGGGCGTTGGTATAAAATAATATTGAAATGTTCATCATAATATCAGAGTGGCAATTTAATTACATTTTCATTATTTTTAAAATTATTATTTTGCGTGACGACTCTAGAATGAAACTAACACTCAAACTAAAATAATTAAGTAATTTCACGCGTAATTATTGGTAATGTTGGGTCACAGAGTTCAGCAAGCGTCGAACGTTGACTGAAAGAATGCAGTCATTATCGACCTAATAACGGTGCTCCATTTAGGTTGTAGAGTATCCATCTGACATCCTTTATCAACCTAATTTAAGCTGCCACTGAACTGGATATGGTCATTTTTATTTTATTTTTTATTCCTGCAACTGTGTTCGATATATTTTCACGCCGAACAAGGGAACATTAAATGCAGTAGCAGATGTGTTTCGAAACGTTTATCTTCAGAAACGATTACTTGTGCAATTTGGCTACAGTCCAATGACCGAGTAATGTTCAAGCTTGGGGCTGTAGTTGGCTGGCAGCTCAGATACTGTATTTTGCTGCTGGATGTAGCGTCTGGGGACAGGGGAATTTACTAAACAGATACACACGCGTACATGCACTGATTTCCCGCTGGAGTTGCTGCAGTTTGTCAGTAAGCGAGGATTGCTGTTAGGGAATTTACATGCATTGATAAAACAGTAAAATAACGAGAGTGGATTCCTCAAACTGTCTTATTACCGGAAGAACGGGCAGTTAGCTTAAGCGACTAGCGCAGATAAGCGTACCGAGGAATTCCGCTACGTTGTCGAGTCGATACCCTATACACCTAGGCTAGACCAATGACGAAGACGACTGCGTTCGCTGATGTTGCGTTGTGCAGTCTGGTACAAGCTTACCGTTGTTTCAGAGGTGGTTACTACATACATCATCAGGGCTATTTATGATTTATTTAACGATACTGTCAATAGCAAAGTAACGACGGTTTATAGACTGAATAATGAATTAGAACCCAATTCTGAACTTACTATTCCGTCATTTACCAGGAGGAATTGAAGAAAAACACGAAAAAATTCAGTAAAGATAGCCGGTCTGTGGGATGAGATTCAAACTCCGGACGTCCCGAAAAATAAACAAGAATGCTAACCACTCGAAAGCGATGTTAGTTTTTTTTATAAACCACATGATAACGGGGTTGAACTGGATAAGGGGTATGACTGCTATTATTTATTATTTTATTTAGTGTTCTGTCTGACGACAGGTCCATATGAACAGGATCCTTCCATCCTTTTCTCGGACTGAGACCTGTTCATATACGTTCTTGGCAGATGATCCAGAAGTGGTTTGCCATTGCCTTCTTCTGTGTGTGAATGGGATGCCACGGAGAAACCGGGGAAGCCCCCGGAGGAAAACTCCGTGTTGCCTAGACCACGGCCTTGCCCAACACAAGTTATAAATTCTGGCACCGCCGGGAATCGAACCCGAGACCCCAGGATTACAAGGCCAGCGTTCTAACCCTGGCTTCTATGACTGCTATAGACCAGAGTAATGACAAGCACATTATTGGCAGAAACACGGTTATGACGTCATTCTCATTAGTGAACAAAGTGGAATTGTTTTGAAATGAAACAGAGAGAGAGAGACAGAGAGGGATGGATCCATACTTGAAGAAGTTTCTGGAGAACTGTAAACTCAGTGAAATCTCACAGAGTGTGGATGTGGGTTTGTCACATTTTCTTTATGGCTTGATTTAGCTGCCTTTGCTGTCCTTACAGACACACATGCCGCTATAAGTACACGAACCATGGAGGCTTTTCAAACGCTGCATTGTCGTGTGATAGACAGGTAAAATCACCCCCATATACCTTTGTCTCAAAACAATATTGTAGTAGTTCGGATAGAGAAAGATAGAGGGAAGCTGTGTTCTCCAAAGTCACCCAACATTACCACAACAGTCCTCTAGTCTTTGTTGTGTGTTTGTTTGTTTGTTTGTTTGTTGTGTAGAGTGACAATACGGAGTGGTTTTGTCATCTTGTCTTGGACAGATGAAGCCAACGAATGGGAGGAAGGGTGGAGTTTGCTTTGGGGGTCTAGGATTGGTTATTTCGTGCCATTAGGACCATTAAAACCAGTGACAAATAATATTCTACAATGCAGCGCACAGTATATATCAACTGAAGGATTGGTTTTTGGCTAAAATACTCTTCAGTGTTGGTTTCATGTATTGTAACGCCGCGTAGACTTGTAGTTATATAATACCAACGTTTCGGTGTATTATACTGCCTCCATCTTCAGGGCTAAAGCATTGAAGTACGTTCCTATTTATTTTACAGTTACAGGTAACGAATTGTTGGGTACTGACAGTCAGTAAACTTGAAAAAGAACGTTAAGGTATTGGGAAGGAACTGGTTTTATGCAGAAGTTGACTGTCGTGTGTGTTGTTGTTCTGTGTAGTCTGGTACAAGTTACTTGAGTTTTAGATGTGCCTGCTGTCTCCATTATCCACGGTGGTCTAGCGGTCAGAACACTAGCCTTGTAAGCCTGGGGTCCCGGGTTCAATTCCCGGTGGTGCTCAAATTTATAACTTGTGTTGGGAAAGGCCGTGGTCTAGGCA